ACGCCGCTCCAGGCCAACAGCTTGTTGCTGAGCCTGTGTCCACCCACCGCCAGGCCCCCCAGCGAGAGCCCCGGGGAGGAGGGCCCGACGGGGCCCAGCGCGCCGAAGACCCGCGCGCCTTCCTGTGCGGGAGGGGAGAGGTGGGGTGAGACTGAAAGCCCCCTAGGGGCCCCAGAAGAGCCCTCTCAGCATCCAGGCCCAAGCCAGGGTGCCATGTCGCTCTCCTGCCGCCCGCATTCCCTGCCTCATCCCAGCTGGGGCTGGAACACACCGCGGTCCCCTTCAACTGCCACCTCCATGGCCCCGGGCCCCTCCTGTGACCTGACCTGGAACCAATTGTCTGGGCGGAGGAACACTCCCTGCCCCGCCCCCGCGGCACACAGCACACCTCAGTCTGCACACCCCACTGCGGGGCGGGGCCAACGAGGCCCTGGCTCCAGGGAGGGTTGGAGAAGCAGCCTGCAGCAAAGGAGCCCTGGTAAAGGGATGGTCAAGCACTTGGCTCCAACGCAAAACGGTCAGGGGTTTGAACCCAGGTGGTTTCACGAGAAAAGAGGTCTGGCCATCTGCTCCCAGAAGGGTCACCACCAGGCAGGACCCCGCCCCCTCCAACACACACACACACACACACACACACACACTCACACACAGCCACCTGTGGTCACCGTGAGCCGGGATGGACTCAAGGGCAGTCCTTCAGCTCGGCAGCTTAGGGAGAAGCACCCAGAACAGAATCGTGGAGGAGGAACTGCACAGAGTGGGAGACACGTGTGGAACTGTGAGGGTACCAACCCCTGGAGGGCCCCCGGCACATCACGTCTCCAGAGCATTTGCAAAACATTGAGAGAACCTTTCAGAGGGAAAGCCATGAAAAGTCACATAGTCACCATGAAGGGCACAATCCCCGCCCTCTCCCTTGCCTTGAACCAAAGCTAACAGAGTGAAAACGCACTGCCAACCAGCGGCTCCCCCCAGGCCAGAGAACAACTGCTCCCTGGGGTTCCCAAGGCTGTAAATCACTGGAGGGCCAACAGCCTCATCTTGCTCCTGCAGAGTGGCTCGGTGGATTGAACAGCTGCTGAGCTTATTGTTAGCAGCTCAGCACTTACCCCACTGAGCCATAGGGTCCTAACATCGCCCAGCTGCTAGAAATTCATGAAGGCAACACGAGTAGGAAGTGGTGTGCCCCCACACAGGGGGGAGGGAACCCCAACAAACTTTCCTCCAAGTTGTTGCTTTTGTTGGGCAAACTGAGCGAAACCAGATGGATGCCTGCCGCCAGCTCGGTGGAACAGCATGCTGGGGCCTGGGATGGCGACCCATTGCCCTTTATGGAACGGTGCCTCCCAGGGCTAAGACCCCCGGCCTCTCTTCCGAGGGACCCCTGGGTGAAGCCAAACCTTCCAAGCTTGCAGGTGGCAGCTGAGCAGACTGACCATTGCACCACCGGAGAGCTCCCTGGGGCTGAAGTGGGAGGTTGAGCCAGGGGTTTGCCTGGAGGCCAAGAAACTTGTGAAGATCTGGGCATACCTGTGACACTACGCCTAGGCCCAGGGCTCCCACAGAGGGCCAGGACCACCCTCAACATCCGGGAGGTTTTCCTGTTGAAAGTGCGCGCACACCTGGTCACGCCGTAGCTGGGGTGGGCCCGGTCACAGGGCTGGAGCAAGTCCTGTAAGGAACCGAGGCGCACCCAACCAGGGGCCAGCGGGGAGGAATGTGCTTAAGGCCTGCCTGACTGGGTTGTTCCGGTATGCAGTCCACCGGAGGGATAGCTCAGTTGGGAGCACGTAAACGTGAGATGTGGCCCTGGCAGCCCTTTACCAAGCCTGGGGAACCAAGCAGTCAAGAAATCAAAGGTGAGGCTGCCTTGGGCAAATCTGTGGCATTATTAGACCCCTTGAAGAATGGCACACAAAGGGCCGGATGATGTTGAAGTCTAAGGTGGGCCTAACCTAAGTTGCTATTTTCAGTGTCTTATAGGCGAAGGATAAGCTGCGAAGCGAATCAGGAACGGTAGCTGCAGGGTAGTGAGCTACTTACTGTGGCTTGAGCCACAGTTTATAACTCTCATGGAAGGACTTTCTCCTGATGACTTCCTGCTGGGCATAAAATAAGCCCTCTCAGAAATAAAAGGGTAGGGGGGCGGGTGGGGAGGATCTCTCTACCAGCAACTACAGGGAGTGGAGTGCATCCTCTGGACCCCCGAGATCCTCACGCAATGAACCTCCTAAATGCAGAAGGCAGCTGTCACACTCGGGGAGCCTGATAGAGGTGCAAAGGAACAGCAGCCACAGAACCAAGAACCAGAGCATGAGACCGAGTGGGCCTTCCCAGCTCAGGAAGCAAGAAAAGCTAGCTGACCCCAAGGGCTCGAGTAGAAAGGAAATGTTTTTGGAAATGTGGATGGCAACATATGTACAGTGTGCTTAATACAATTGAATGATAGATTGCTATAAGATTTGTAAGACCCTCCCAATAAAATTATTTTTAAAAAGGCAAGAAAAGCCTAGTGCTTTGGGGACAGGAGGCTGGCATGGGGCGCCTTTGGGCACTTAATTGGGGTAGCCCACTCCCTAGCTGATGCTTCGTGCCTTAGGGTTGAGGCTTACAGCTTCATCTGGGGGCAATGATTAGCGGGCCTGAAAGAACTTTGGAACAAGTCCTGACCGAACAACCGTAGCCTGAACTGTAACTTTAATTTCCACCACAGACCCCACCATCCTGAGCCCTGTCCTTGAGTTCTGCGAGGCCACGACACCGAATCGTTGAACCTCAGTTGACAAGCAGCAAGGGCTGTGGAACTGAGCAGGAAAAGTAGAATGTCTTGTGGGAGACTCTGAACGGGCGTGCTTGAAGAACGGTGGAAGAACACTTCCGCCTCGGGGGAAGATCGGCCTGAATTTCCTGCTCCTTAAAAGCCAGGATGGCCAGACTTTGAGTGCTTTGGGGATGTTATTGGGAAACATCAGTCCCTGGAGAAGGCATCGCCTTTGATGGAGGGGCTACAACTAGGGGCTCAAACATAGCCTGGATGATGTGGCTGGGGCAGTGATGGACCCCGGGTCGCTGCGCGGATTTCCTGCTTAGCGGAGCAGCCTTGAATTGGGAGGGCAACACGTTGGGAGGTGAGGGTGGAGTTCAAGGAGTGGAGGGGGGTGGGTATGAGCATTTCAGGCCCGTTCTGCGTCCAGGGGTGCACAGGTGACTCCTAAAAGACCCTGCAAGGAGGGGGCAGGCGGTTTCTGGGGGTGGGTGGTATCTGGGTTGCAGGGAAGCACCCATCTAGAGAGAGGTGAGCACCGGGCCATACGGGGGACAGGGGAGGTCTCGTTTTAAAGCATGGGCCTCTTTGGGGACTGCCAGGCTTGCGGGCAGTGCTGTATTGACTGTGCGGATTTCTCCAGGTCTGGGCTCACTGCAACCGCCTGGGTCTCCCCTGATCCGGGCTCACCCGCCTGCCCTGGACACCGCGCGGAGCGCAGGCACCAGCATGTACAACGGCAGGGCGGGAGTGTGCCCGGCCGGGGGTCCTCTGGCAGCGGCGCCTCCACCAGGCCCAGATTTCTTGCGAGGAGACCAACTTTCCAGTGGCCGAGTGGAGCGCGCGCGGGCTTCCCGGGAGATCCCCGCCCTCCCCTCCGCGCAGAAGTCGGCCTGGGCCTCAGCGGTCACTCGGGCCCTCCCTGCACCCGTAGCGCACCCCTTCTCCCAGCCAAAACAAAGGGGAGCGCCCAGCAGGCCACGTACCACGTCGGGAACCC